CTCTCCCCCTCCCCCCCTCCTTCCCCAAAAAAACACCCCACACCCCCCAAAAATTTCAAAAAAACACCCTACAAATGAACAGAGTGGGACTCGAACCCACGCCCCTTTCGAGACCAGGAAATTGCTGTACTCAACAGTTAAGCTTAAACCTTAACCTGGCGCCATAACCAGCTCGGCCATCTGTCCTTTTTTCGTGGTTTTTCATGTTGGGAAATTATGGCGTTATTTGGGGACTTACATGTGATAGGATTTGTGTGTGGGATGCGGGTTTGTGGGGGTTAGTGGAAGAAGCGGGGTTATAGGATGGGATGGGATGAATGGGCCGATTTCGGGCCTTGGTTGATATAAGGTAGTAGGCGAGGTAGTAGGATAGGTTAGGATAATAAAGGGAGTAGCGCTCGGTATATAGAACGATATTCTATAGAATTTCCATATTCTATTTTATCTAGAATAATTCTAGACCCTCTATAAAATAATAGAATTTTCTATTTAATACCCCTTAGAATTCTATAGAACTACTAGTTAGCTCTAGAGTATATATAAGTTAAGTTTATATTATTTTATAGTTACATAAGAACTTTTCGACTAATTAGAATTTAATTAGTTTTCGATTAAACCGAAGTTAGTTTAAAAATCTAAAAGAGAAATTTTAATCGAAAACTAATTAAAATCTAGTTAGTCGAAAAATTCTTTACGTAATCATAAAACTATATACTACTATAAAGATATAATTTTATATATTCTAAGGCTAACTAGTATAGAATTCTAGAGATGTTACTAACTATTAAGAGTAAACTAATAAAAGTATAAGAATTTAAAAGAAGTAAATATTAATTAACTAAGTTAAGTATATTATAATTACTTTTTTCTATCTACTATAATAATAGCTTTAATTTACTATTATTACGTTAATCACTTCGAATAAGCTATAACTTAGTAATATTTAGCTTAATTTAATATACTAGTAATCCGGTAAAAAATATAGAAACCTAACTAGGATTTATATAAGAACTACTTATATTATAATAGTTGTTCGTAGTATTAATAAATCTATAATATATAATACTAGTAGATAATACTAGAGTAGCTAGAATATAGACTTTTTATTAGTTTATTAGACTAGCGCGACTTTTTTCTATAGTGTTCTATAAAATAAAAGTAAATAAAATAGAATTATTTTATAAGATCTTTAAATAAAATAGAATTATTCTAGAGGGAAAGTCTAGAATAAAATAGAATTCTAGTTACTAAGTGTAACGAATATTCAAACTGGCTAACTAAACTTGGCTGGGTGTTCGCTGGTTGGTATGCTATGATAAGAAGAAGACTATCGGGTTGTTCACTTGGAAGTGAACTCGTTACTTGTATCAAAGATGTCAAACTAATATGATAAGATTGATAACTAAGTTGAGCACGAAGCTCCTATCTAATGGCAGACGTGCCAGTGTTATATAGAACCTCTGTTCTCCGTTCTAACTGTTGGATCGCCGGGGTCGCTTGTCTACCGAGTCGACCCAGACGACTGGAGCGCTCGTCGCTCCAGGCGACCCAACTTGTCACGTGACTCTAACAAAAGGAAATCCCTGGATCGCTTAGCTAGCCCAAGCGATCCCATTTGCTATAAGAGCGTTCAATAGTGCTTGACTTGTCAGGACGCCGCCTGGTCTTCACTTCTCACGTGCCAACACGTGATTCGTGACAATACTTTAAAATAACTTAATATACTACGATTATATCTAGCTTATAGATTAATATATTATAGAGTTAATTAAGCGCTATCTTTTAAGCTTCTGTACGTTTTAAAATATATAAAATTAGCTCTAATATACTTATTTTTAAAGGAATAAAATTATATTTATTACTTAATTAAAAAAAGCTTAAAATTATACTTTACTCTTCTTTAGCTATTCTACTATTCTACGTTCTATAATAATAATTCTTAGTTACTTTATAAAGTATATTCGGCTCTATAAATCCTAGTTTAGTATATTTTAATAAATAGTATAGTTAAAAAAAAAAACTAGAAAAGCTATGAGTTAATTTAAAGTTGAAGAAAGTAAAAATAGTTATTTTCGGCTTTAACGTAATACTTCGGTATTATAGCGGGGTATACTCCCCTAAAAATAATACTATATAAAACCTTAATATCGAAAGTATTCGAAAAGATATATCTAAATATAGCTAGTTATATAGTAGTAGTATATTAGAGCTTTAGATTCTTTATTAAAAAGTTGATTTAGAGCCTATAGCCTAAAGGATCACTATTTTCCCTCAGACCCTCAAATAAAGGCTGGCCGTGGTAGTAGGTGGCTTGGTGGCGTTATACGCGGGCTGGGGGTCGGCTGCGGGCCTGGGGAGTCCGCGTAGGAGCGGGTGAATCACGTGGGGGAGTGAAGGCCTACTACCAAAAGCCTTTATAAAGAGGGTCTGGGTGCTGAGATAAAACTAGACTAGACTAAATAAAAGCCTACTATTTTTATTTATTAACATCTATAAAACCTTATAAACCCCTACTTAACTTAACTTAAACTACCTATCAACCCCCCCTGCCCCCCACCCCCCTCAAAAAAACACCAGAAACATTACCATCAACATTAACATTAAAATTAACATTAGCATTAACAAAAGGCTACAGTAACACTTGCTTAGTTTCATACTTCCATCCATTCATTCATTCATTCATTCATCCTATAAACAATCTCCTTATCTCTCCTCTCCTCCACACCACCCACTTTATAACCTAACCTAACCTAACCTATTTAGTCACTATACAGTACGATACGATATAGTAACCTTCCATCCTCCATCCTTCCACCCTACCTACCATACCATCCTATAAATCATGCCTTGTCTTGCCAGTAAACCCAAGCAAGACCCCTTCCATGGCTAATGCTCAAAAAAACAAACCGACAAACTCAAAGAAAGAACAAACGAATTCCTAATGCCCATATAATGCATCCCTCATTTCCATTCCATCATAAGAACCACCCACCCATCCCCAATCAAAGGCACCAACACACATCCCCCCCCAATAAAAACAATTATGTCTAGTCGATACTCCTATGTTCCTCACACAACAAAAAACACGAAAACCATTCAATCCATCCATTCCATTATATAGCCCAACTCCCCCTTCGAGCACGTACTCCCCACGCACTCGGCGTACTTGCCCCATTCGACATATTAGGATGCTGCCTCCCCCACTCCAGGATATAAATCTTCAACGCCTCCCAACGGGCACACTTCTCCCCTTTGCCACCTGCGCCCGGGGCATCCATGAGCCCGATATGACCCTTGGCATCCTGCAACCCATCGTCTTTGCGCAAATCTTCGGGCGCAACATGGGCGATTCTCGCGAGTTCATTATCATAAGGTCTCGCGAGTGATGGGTAGCCGAGGGACAGGTAATTGTAAACCTGGGTGACGAAATTATCGTTGAATTCAGTGCGGATCGCTTCTTCAGCTTTGGCTTTGGCGGCTTCAAGTTTCAGTCTTTCCTCGATTCCTACTAGCATCCTGGTGCCGTTGCTTCGTGCAAAGGCTTGGGAAAAGGGATCGTCTCGCTTAGGTGTGTTTATCCAAGTAGGTCGTTGGATACTTCCATTGATTCTTTCTGGTTCCTCGGCTACACAATAGCCTCCCCATAACCCACCTCCGTGTTCATCTCGCTTGGGTTGTATGTCGATTCGTTGGTCTGATTCGAATTTGGTGGCTTTAGGTGAAGGGCACATGCGGAATTTCAAATCCCCACCCAACATAGGTGGTGATGCAGCCTTTCGCATACGCTCTAGCTCCGCCTCTTTCTTTGGATCTTTGATTTCTGGTCGAGCATTCCTACCATTCGTCCAGAACGGATCCTGAAAATTGTTTTTCGTAGCTTCATCAGCAATCTTCTTATTCGTCTCATCCTGCCGCATTCTGTTTAGGTTCTCTTGATGGTGTTGCATCTCTTTGACATGCCATCCAACCTCTGTCGATTTCCGCCGCAAACTCGGCTTACGTTCGTCCAGCAGCATCCCAATTCCCTCAACGACTTCCTCATCCGATGGTGCATCAATCTCCCGATCATAAAAATGTTCTACAATCTCGTAGCTGGACTCGTTTGGAAAAGCAGCCAAAGCTTGTTCCCGGAGCTGTTTCTCCGCAGCCTTTGCCGCCAAAGCAAGTAAATAACCTGAAAACCTATCGTCACAGCTTTCCCTTGTTCTTGCCAATTGTAATCTCATACGCGAGTCATCAGAAGAGCCATTCGATCCTGTCAGCGATGGTGTCGAGTCTGCCATATCCTCGTCATAATCCTCCTCTGCTTCCGACCCGGACTCGGAGGACTCAATCACCTCCAACTCGGGCTGGAAGGAATCCTGCCGACGAGTACTTCGTCTTGTATTTGGGTGAGGACGCATTGATTGTTGTCTTCGAGGGGGTATGGGGTGGATTTGAGAATTGGACAAGTAACTTGTGCTTGGTGTATTGTCGGGTGGTCCAGGAAGAGGAACAACAGGAGGTCTGGCGGACTTTTTCTTTGAACGAGTGTATATATTTGGTACCCCAGGAGTCAAGTCCGTCTATCATATCAAAGTTAGCCATGCCCTCAACAAGCAAAACACCATGCCACTGACCTTATCTGTTGGCAAAGTAGCAGGACGCCTATCTCCCGCCTTCTTTGTCCTCGTTGTCGTCTCAATCAGCTCTGGAGCAAACCGTCTCCTCGGCTTTGGAGTCTCTGTAGGGGCGGATCTTTCGGGAACAGGTTGTGAGGTAGGTTCCGCAGTAGACGTTCCTTTCGGCTGTTTGCTGCTCTTAAAGGTGGTCTCAACCGGCTCTGGGACGAATCGGCGCTTGGGAGCGAAATCTTTCTTGTCCACTCCATCGTCCTTCTTTTCAGCTGGTGGCTGCTTTTCATCTTCCTTTTTGGAACTCCGAGCTGTTGTTTCCACCGGTTCAGGAGCAAATCGACGGATCTTTTTGACGGACGTCTCGACGGGGGTGGGCGGAAAACGCCTGGACACTACAGGCGGGGTGGGAGCGGCGGCGTCTGACATAGCGGGCGTGGGCGTGGGCGTGGGCGTGGGCGTCTTGCAGAGGAATTGAAGAGACTGGGAGATCTGGCAGACGCATGGTTACTCCAAGCTACTCGATCCTGTACTTTTGCGGATGATTGAGAACATTCAGGAGAGTCCAGACTACGAGCTTGTATTCCAAAAAACGGTGTGCTGGAGAAGTTGGTTCGTGCAGAGCCGTGCTGGTGCTGGTGGATTGGACTGGTAGGAGGTGGAGTTGCCGGTGGGGATCGAGTAATAGGATACGATAGGACAGGATAGGGAAGCAATGGAATGGCAATGCAATGCTCCCCCGGAGGACACGGGGGGTCTCTCCAGAACCCGGAGTCCCCAATTAAAGTGGCGCAGCGTTGTCGTGAAAATGGCGGCAAGGACGAGAGGGCTGATTATGACTGGACCTGCAAAAATCCCAACCAGTGGTGGCGTCGTAGTGAAGTCTGTAGGGAGTCGGAGCCTGTGGGGAGTTGACGCCTGTCGAGTTGGTGTGTCTTGGGCGTTAGCCCTGGGTGGTTTATCGTACATACAGTAGTACTCTCGCACGGTGTATGTACGGTACTGTACAACCTGCACTGGCACTGCAGCTGCACCGCCAAAACCACATGTAATTCTATCCCAACGTCGCCTCAGGTGATGATCAAGTGCCGTCATCTCCCTCCACCAAAATCTATAGGCAGGACTATTGGCATACTATATACGACTAGCTCAGGCTCCCATCCCTAATTCTTACCGTCTCTCGAGGTACCCGTCTCTGTACCGCCCTGGGAATCTTGCGGTAATCTCACGATATCACGGGTTGGGAGCGCAGTAGTCACACCTCCAGGTTGATGCCCTGAGCTGCAAAAGGAAAAATCAACCCGATTAATAATGACCATAATAATGGCACCCACATGAAGATCAGACGAGAGGCGGCTTGGAAGCAGAAGACGGTGAAGCCGGGAGACTCACGGAGGGAAGATAGTGGGGTGGAACACTAATACCGCTCAACGTGGCCGGCCTGCCTGGCCTGGGCTAGGGACAGTAGCTGGGAGTGGCCCTACGGTATTCAATATTTGGGTTGCGGTTGCGGGAAGCGGACGGGAGGGAAGGGGAGGCGAGCAAAAGAAAATGCCATCTCTTAAACTGAGCGGTTAGGGTTAGGTACGATTGATTTAGACGATTTTGGTTGGCCTTTAGATCCAGATGCTATTTGAACCTTCTATGGTGGACCCTTCACCCTTGTAACGAGTACCCCCAACGCTTCGTGTTCTAGACCCCCCACACTATTACTTTTCGATTCAACTATTACTTCTCACTTCACCTTCCGTCGGGAGGTATGTACCATACCTGCCTAGGGTAAGTATCGTATTGAGCGGTATTAGTAGGTAGGTGTATATCCATTCTGAAAATAATCCCTACCTAGGTACTTTTCCAGGCCATCTATAAAAACTGTCACATGAAGCAACCAGAGTCAATCCTGTTTCATTATTTGTACTCAAACACTTATGCACATAAATCGCAGCAGCGTCGCAGTAGTGAACCTTTAAATAAAGTGCTGACTCGATATATTACGGTGGCCGGGGCAATCAATACCGTAAACACCTGGACTTCCAAGACTTCCAAGACTTCCTGCTTCCCCGGATTTCTCCAAGTAGGTATATGTATATACAAGCATCTTTTTCTCCAGATACGGAAAGATCTCGATCGAGATACTCAACCCTCCGAAGGTATGTGGAATTACACAGTTTACAGTAGTCCAGTTCTTATTCCCGAACGACGCATTTCATTTCCATATCACCTCATCCTAGAACCTACCTCAAAAGCGCTAGCGAAGACTCGCATACTGTATCCCAATTCATAACCAGCTCCTATATATCCCTCACGGACCGACAACTGCAGTCTCAACTCATGATTCCCGAAGGATACATCCATTCCACTTTCCAAGTTTTTCAAGATCTTTACCTGTACGGAGTACCTAGGTATTTATAGAGTTGGTAGGTACTATTACACAAGCATGTGATAAACAACACCACATCTGGGCTCAAATCAATTGGAACTTCAGTCTCCTTACCGTTAGATAATAAGATCCTATATACATCTATTCCTTATTCCCATTCCTTTATGCATTCTGAAAATATCATTTTATCCATAGCTTTAGCTTTAGCTTTCATAAGTCTAATCCAGATACCGTAGTAAACAATACTTAGATAGAACCAAAAGATCAGACCAAGAAACCTCAGCTCATTAGGATTAAGGACGAAGTTGGCGAATTTTAACGACTGCTGTCATGTATGTTCCGAGAATGTCTTGATATGTACTGTGATGCCGCAACTGTAGACTTTCAAAGGGGAGTGTGAGGGTTGGAACCCATGATGGAGGCTCGGGCCATGCCCTCGCTAAGCACTGACCAAAGTCCCTGCTTAGCACTGGCCATTACCCCACTGCCAAACAGGTTTCTACTTTTCCACACTTTCTTGTTTTATTCTCCTGACATCATGTATTCGTCATTCAAGTTTCTTGCAAGTTTCTTGGAATATTCAGGAAGCTCTTCCTCTCTATATATGGAGGAAGAGCTCGCATGTATGTAGTCTTCACGCACTTCTTAATTGAATATTCGAAACCACACCTTTGAGCTATTCGAGGTCTGGCCTCTCACAGGGAGTTTGGTGTCGTCTCTTTTTTCTTTTCCGATAAGAAAAGGGTGCGGAAGTGTTATAGCTATTTTCAGATTTTCGAATTTTGGGGGATGAGTCGGTGGTAGATGGGATTTCGAAGGGAGATTTTTGAGGAATTGCTTTCTGATTTTTGTATATTTAGTGTAAGAGAGGGGAGGGCTGAAAGTTAAAGGCTAATTAGGAAATAGGGGAGTTTCTTTAGCTTGGTTTTTATGTGGAAAGATTTTTCGAAGAAGCTTGTGATTTTACGATATGAAAGTAGCTTCCTATTCTTTGAAGGCTTCTTGGGCTTTTCTGGCGAGGAATGAGAAAGGAGAAAGGAATATTGTCTGTGTAAATGTGATGAGTCATTATAGCTCTTCCGCAACAATATATTAAGCGAGTAATTGTGATTAAGTCTTTATTAATACTCTCCATTCGATAATACTCAAGCTACTCCCTCGACCCTTGGGCCTTGGTATATAAAAAAATACAACTTTATATTCTATATTCCCCGATTAGGAAGATAAACACGTCGCTTTCTAATCTTCTCTTCCACAAATCGCGATATACATTCAAGAAACCCAGATCATGGAACCGCAGTTTCGAGGTAATCACAACGTTGACAAATCATTAAACTTAGCTATTAAGACGTAAAGAAATGGAGCACGGGAAGGATAGGTTACGTCCACGTTGTAGAATTAGGATGAGATAGAGACAGTAGGATAATAATAGATGATGCAAGAAGGTATGATAATATAGGTTTCTATCTAGAACTAGCTTGAACAATCCGCTGTATATTCATAACTCCACCACGTTGAAATAGTCTTAGAAATATTCGCCTCAGGTGATTCCTACTGTAGTGTTCTACACGTAAGAATCCAACGGCAGACCTACAAGAAGTCAAAGTCAAAATGAGAACTATACCTGTCTCGCTCTGCCATCTTTCCCAGAATACTGCACATACCAGCGGTATATAATCCCCACCCCTCGAACTCATCGATGGCAAACACACAATATGAAGATATTCACAAGATTAGAATGCGATTGGTCCTTGCATTCCAACCTGCCCTCTGGGAACTCGGTGGCAGAGATTCTCGTACACGTACGAAAATTTCGTACACAGGCCTAATTAGGTAGTTAAAAGTGGAGATTTGAGTACTATAAAGTAGGTGTCTCCACTTTTCGGATTTTATACTTTATTATCCCCTGCTAAGCGAAAACAGAGGGCATTCTACTTCGAAGTAGAAGAGAATATTAAACTTTTAGGAACCGACACAGCCTATAATTAGCTTTGAAGAGAGTTTAAGCGTAACCCGAGCCTTCCGTCAGCTATCTGTATATACAAGAAGGCCTTTTCCCCTCCCTTTACCTCTGTAAACCACCTGTAACTACTTGGTCGTTTTCACCTGTCCTTCTCCCTCTCCCTCCCTACCTGTAAGTACTTAGCCGTTTCTACCTGTCCCTCCCCCNTAACCCGAGCTTTCCGTCAGCTATCTGTCTATATTAGAGGGCCTGTCCCCCTCCCTTTACCCCTGTAAACTACCTATAAGTACTTAGCCGTTTCTACCTATCCCTCCCCCTCTGTCCCTTCCCCTCTGTCCCCCCCCCTCTGTCCCTCCTTGTAAGTACTTTCCTACTTTGCTGTCCTGTAAGTTTCTACTTCTATTATACCCCTGTTACCGCCCCCCCTTTCCTGTAAACAAGTAAACATATGTACGCGTAAACAAGTAAATAGAGAACTGAGTCTTTGGTATAATATTTAAGGTTTTGCGCCTACTGTTAGTGTACAAAGAAATGCGCGCTAGGGATAGTTTTGTACCCCGGGACGGCCCGCGGCGGGTGTCAGATATTTTCGTACACATCTGGCCTCGATTTCCCAGAGGGCTGACCTTCCCCCACCTATACAGTCACTCCACCAAACACCTTCCAACGGACTAACTCCTTACAAATTTCGTCCCCTTCCGTGTACTACCCATATTTCCGAACCTATGTCGGAATTCGGATGTTCGCAAGGAATCGATAATAGTAAGGATATCGAAAATAAATAACTCATAAAAATCAGGAAGAGGTATATCTCCTCCTCGTAGAATCGACTGATCTAACCTACGAATCCTTCTATCCCACACATATGCCAATCCAAGACTATCTTAAGAGACCCCGTGTTGTGAGGTAGGCGAGGTCGTGAAGGGCTTCTCGCTGCGTATCGTGGGCGGGTATTATACTATAGTATACCCGCGTTCCGCTTTAAATACAAATGAATGTACTGTAGTTTCTATGTGTATAAGACTGTTAAGACATCGGATGAGTATGGTAAGGTGATTCTTGTAAGGGAGAAAGTGTGAGGGGTGGTTGTTTATAGATGTGGGAGTGGTTTGTATGTGTAGTATAAGGAGAGCAGGGACGAGATGGAATATGCCCGTGGACTTACTATATTTAATTTAGATATTGGATATATACTTTGAGCTCCTTCCCATCAAAGGGATTGTTTATTAATATTCAGGTTTTGTAGTCGTCTTTCATGATAGCTATTACGCTATATTACTTACACCTGGGAAATAACATTTCTGTAGAGTTGTAGAAAGAGTTATATGATCAAAGCAGTTGTACGAATGATTAAGGATCATTTAAGCTTTCGTTTTTCCATTAACATAAGATTTCAGTTCCTCAAGGTTTCCCGGGACCTTATAATATCGCATTAGGTTCGTGGGGTGTATGTAGAGTAAAGAAATACAAGTACTATCTCAGAAAAGGTTATAGAAATCATCCTAGTATCTACAACATCTGATCATTACATCAAAAGCCAATCTCAAGCCCCAAGCGATCAAAGCCAACATAGCAAATATCGGAACCAGACAACTACCTCATTGAATTTCAAAATAGCACCAAGTCAATACATTCTAACATATTACAAACTATAGAAATGACCCGAAACTTCAAGGAAATAAGAAGATAGGGCATCGAATGCCACCAACAGGGAAGAAATATCATTTCATGGATAC